GCATAAATAAACGTACAACTGCACTGGGAAAAAGTCTTAATCATTGTCATAGCAGCTATGAATACAATACAAAACACAGACGTTTTAATTGATTTAATTCGTAGTACAATACAGTACATTTCAAAGCGCTGATAGCCATATTCATAATTAGGCTTTCATATCTAACAGCAGTATATGACAATCTGATAATATTGTCCGTGGCTAATCTATTTCTTTTGCAAACACTTCTCTAGCCGAAGAAACAAAATATTTTCCCTCTGTGCACGAACGAATGGGAAACGTTTGCTGAAAACACAAACAATTAAGGCCGAAATCCACAAAATTATTATAGGAAAGTCATTATTTTGTGTGTGGCTTGTTGTATTTTGAAAAATTGAAAATGAAACAAAAACATGGCCATGATGGGCGTGATGGGCGTGGCAGGGGGCGCATCATAAGTGGGCGGGGGCGGTGGGCGGTGGGAGGCCATTCAGCTGGCTCGTGTGTGTTTATTTTCGTAGACTTTTAGATTGTCGCTCGGCGGATATGTCGGCGGCATCTCCTATATATCTTTCCTCGTGTCTGTTTTTTTTTTTAATATTTATCGTACGCATGACACGCCAAATAAAAGAATAACAACAATATTCGTACGTTAACAACGGAAAGTTTTGCCAAATTCAGTGAATGGAACTAAACTAACTGAAATACTCGTATGCGAGGCTAGTTGCTTTATTAGCAATAACGTTGGATCTCATTTAAATGAACTGAAGAAGTCCTTCTAGAGTTAATAACTTGCCACTTGACCCTGGTTGTGGTTGTTGTTGTTGTTGTTGCTGTGGCTGCTTCTGCCTTGGGACCAATTTTTGTGAATTATGAGCTTGCAATTATAGCGTTTTGCAGTCTTTATTTGTAATTTTATTAGCGTACTTACACAGAAATGCTCGAGGGAATAGTTGCTAGAGGTCAAAAACAAAAGATATCCAGCGAGAAAAGATAATTATTTGTTCTCTCTTCCCCTCTCTTTCTCTCTCTCTCTGTCTGTCTATCTCTTTCGCTCTCTTGTGTATTCGCTGATCTGCGCGTTTATCTGTAGCGCTCTCTCTGTCGCTCCACCGCCGTCGCGGTTGTTGTTTGTGGCGTACTTCCTCCTTTTGCTTCTCCTTTTATCCAGCTCTTTCGATTTCCCTTTTCCGCTTGATAAATTGCTTTCATAATTTACAACGATATCTCAACGAATTTGAATTCTCCGTGCACACCTGGTTTATTGTGTCTGTGTGCGTGTGTGTTTGTGACTGAGGATGACGTCGTCGTGCGGCAATCGTGGAAATTCCTCTTCAAAGTGCCGCATTCGCATTTTCCAACTTGAATCGGCGATTGCCGCCTGCCAACAGTTAACCCGATTTTCGAACGCCTACCGCTGCAATGTATCCACTCCGCGAACTTAGAAACCAGACGAAAATGAAATATTTCTCGGGAAGAGAAAACTGTTGATGAGTCGTTCGCGCAGAAGTTTTTACGTTTTACGTTTACGTTTACGCTATCGTTTATCGTTTACGCTGGCGTTAGTGAATTATTCGGGTGCGCGGTATATTTTGCGGTATTATTTTAAGTGACTGTTAATGTTACGCGATCTGGGGGTCTCCGCTAAAAGCATCCAAGTTTTCCACCAGCGAGAGAGTCTTTGCTGATCAGCCACAGAATTCAGTGTAGTATGGCACACTTGCCATAAAAACGTTTAAAGCCTGCTATAAAATCAGTTGCAATTCAAACTACTTGGCTTAAAATTAAGATTAGTAGTTATTAAATTAATTATTTTGACTACAAATATATAAAAGAAACGGTTTTTAATACTATTTAATGGTTTAACAACTACACCTTGTTGCATTTCAAGACGGTTTATTTAAGATTTAAGATCGAAAGACAAGTCGTGCGATTCTTACTATATTTGGAAGAGAAATGTGTGGATATCTTGGCGAAATAATAATTCCATTTTTTTCTCATCAATTCCCTTGTGCCGGACCAACGCCAATCTAATTAGGAACACCTACAAAGGCGATTTCCCTGCCGACGGCGCAATTCTAATTGGATTAGTGAACGAAGCCGGCTAAGAAGGCATTTCAGGACCCTCTGCCCTTGACCCTTGAATTTTCTCTGGTTCTGTGCCTCATTGCCACTTCCCCTGCCACCGCAGACCACCGTTTAAATTGATTGAAAAACCGCCCCTTAATCGATATTTATATCTCTGGCCAGTCATGAGTAATTCTAATAGACGCTGCTCATTAGCAGGCAAAGGCACGGCAAAGGCAAAGTAATGTAAAAAATGTTTAGCTAACAATCCGGTTTCCTCGAGGAGAAATAGCCGCGATGCGATGAGTCCGCCGCCTCATTACAAATGCCCCAGAGCACAACCAAGTCACAAATTGCACTTGGTTGGGTGTGTTGCATAGTGTAATAATTGATGTACATTAAAAGCGTGGCTGAGAAAATGAATTTTCGGAGTTCGTTGTGCTTTTGCCGGCCAATTAGGCACAAAAGGCAGTCGAAATTCATATGCAAATGCCTAATAGAGTTGTCAGCAAACAAGTTTGCGGCCAAATGGAATTCTAAAGTCTGTGACAATCCGCCAATTCATTTAAAAACAGAGACAGAATAATTTATGCAGTTCAATCTCACAAGAAACAGAAAGAAAACAACGGAACTCTTTGCCATATCGCATGAAGATATGATAATGGTTCGTTATCGAAAGCATTTCATAATAAATAAATCTAAAAAAGAACAAAAAAAAAACAACGGAAAGACCAAAAAGCGAGGGAAGCGTGTTGAATAATAAATTGAAGTTCTGGCCAATTTAAATGGTCTCCATAATAAGAATTGCATCGCAAAATTCAACTGAGAGCGGCGAGCGAGAAAACAGAAATTACACTGAAAATGTTAATCATGATAATTAAGTTAATATGCGGGGTGGTTAAGTGTTAACTGAACTTGGCTCATTGGGGTCAGCCGAACAGCCAAACAACCAAACAGCCAAACAGTCGAACAACCGAACAAATTGAACACAAGGTGAAATGGGGGAAAGTTGGAACAGCAGTAGTGGGGTGGTGGGGGTAACTCGTAACCCCACTCGTAACCCCGATTAATTAACCAAAAGTTGCGGCCAACCTGATTCAAATCGATTGCACAAAGGCCAGAGCATTGATTAATCCGGCATCCAGAATAATTATTTTAATAGTTTTGACATTTAAGCGACAAATTAAAATTGAATAAATGCAAAATAAGCGTAATAAATTTTAATTGCTTGCCACGCCCCTTGCGCCCCTTGCCTGTCTTTCCTGCCATCCCTGTCTTCACTCTTTGCCGCCCACTGGCAGCTGTTGCATTGATTATAATGAAATTATTATTTATTTATATCGCATCTTTTCGCTATTGTATAATTAATTGCCGTCGTTCGAGTGGCAAACAATTAAATAATAAATCAGTTTTAAACAATCATTTAATTATGTAAAAAACCAAACCAAATCATCGAGTTCAATGCGTTTCGCATTAAAACTGAGCAATTATTCAAGTCTCAACAGCCATAATCCGTTCAATAGAATCGGCCATTGTTGCAAAATGTCAACCTGCCACATGACGCATGAGGAGCAAAACACAAAGAGCAGCAAATGGATTACCAATGCAATCGAAATGCTCCATTTGCGGCCTTCCCTGACATTTAATTCAACTCTTCGATGGAAAATCAATCAGCTAAGCCTAATTAAACGTAATCCCACTCAATTGGACAATCATCATTGCCCTGGCATTTCCCATCTAACGGTAGCCACGTATCGAACTAGTATTACTATAAACTACACTACACACATCCAGCTGCTGCCGCCGTCGACACCAATTGTCAATGATATCGATCGATCTCTTTGCCGCAACAGGTGAGTGACTTCCAGTCTACAGACCCCAGACCCCAGACTCCAGATTCCAGACCCGACTGGTTTCCACGTCCAGGTAATAACACCTCTCCTGGTGACCGCGGTAATGGCCGGTGTTTAGCGCTCTAATGGAGCCATCGAAACCGCAGAAACACTCTTAAACTGGAACTAGATCAGTGAGATTATGCGCTGCTCCCTTGATGGTTGCAATTTGGCTTGGCCAAAGTGAAATTAGCGAAATCTCGCCAGCGGCTGAGTGCGGCGAGATTGAAATCGGGGTGGCGAAAGCCGACTTCTTCGAATGCATAAACTGATTAAGGTGTTTACAGCAGTATTCTATCAAGCTGGATATATTCGGCGGCATGAATGATCGTAACCTTGAATCGCATATGATAGTTATAGCACACATTGTTAGTAGAGTACATTACTGGGTATTATGATGTTTTTAAGGGGTGTTGGATGTTATTCACACCCGCATTAAAGGTGACTCTTTCCTAGCAAGCAGACTAACTCATCTATGCACACACATTTCTTTGCCCAACCCAATTATGTTATCCAAAGCTGGAAGATTAGTCACCAGCACCCCCAGCACATTTCATTCCATTCATACCATCAACCTGATACCTGATCAGTCACCTCAGCCCACTGCCTCCCCAATTAAACTTATACTCCAGCAGCTACATATGTATCCACTTGGTATCCCCAAGCGCCAAGCTCCGAGCTCCAAGCTAGCGGGTGACTCACTTGGGGGATCTACGTTATAAAGAACATTCAGAGAAACCGAACGCGATGACGGCGGAAAGAAATCATTTTGCGGTCTGACGACTTTGGGAGGCTCCTGAGTCATAAAACGCAGCTTAGCGAGGTCCTCGAAAGAAGCGAAAATACAAATAAATGGAATTTACTTCAATAAATGGGCGGGGGGCACCTACAGCTTGAGTGTGTGAATTAAGGCATGTGGAATTACGAGGGGCGTATGCGGTATGTTATTAAATATTTGTGTTTATTGATAAGCTTATTGGGGTCAAAGGGGGCCATAAACAGTTATCTCCTCCGCTTCCACATTCCAAATGTGCTTTACGGTTTATTGTGGCCAAAACTTACCGCTTTCTTGTATAAACAATGCCCAGGTAATCCCAAGTTTGGCTTATGCTTTTGTTGTTCCTTTGGCCGCCACTGATGGATAGTAAAATGTGTATTTCAAGCACGTGTCATTTGATTGCTTTTGGTCACCACTAAACTTGACAGTGCGTATGTATGTAGTGGGTCACTGGGTGGGGGTGGGTGGTGCTGCACCCACAAGAAAAAGCGTAAGTAGTTGAACACTGCCCAACGGTAAACACAAGGCGACACTACACACTTAACGAACGTGTTAACCCGACGATACGAAAACGATGATCGAGCACAAATATCTCGCGACGATCGCAGCAACTGCGTCTGCGTGCTTCGACTGCTGGAAATCGAATGAGCGGCTGCATTTATCGCCTGAGACTCAGACACAGACACCGGGAGTGAGAGAGCAGTAAGCTGGAGAGTCGGAGAGTCGGAGTCAAATTACCTGGGTGAGCAAGGTAGGCAGTGCTGGCAGCTTGGCTACTTTATGGCTAAGGGTATTACAAGAAATGTAGCAATTAAATGGAAAACCTTAATTCAAAGTATTAATATGTACTATTATCAGTTGCCATTTTTTTCAGTGATCATCATAAGCTATCACTACCAAATCGAATGAATACCTGCATTTTCTAGCTGTTTTAATTGTACAGCTAGTTAACTTTTGACTACTTTCAAGCTGTATTGTCAACATTGTGCGCTCTCACCTTACTCTCTCTTACTCTCACTATTTGCCTAATAATAATGAGCATAATGAAGAGCATTGTTCGCTTTGTCGCGCTCGTTGTTGTAGTAGTTGGTGGTGGTTTATGCGTTTTTGCCCTTTCTTATCACTCGCTCCATTCCTCTCTCTCTCTCTCCCTCTCACTCTCCTTCTCTTGGGCCAGCTGTTCGGTAGCATTCTCAAAGGTGCGATCTCTCGCTATCTCTTTCATCTGCTACGCATGCGCAGCTGCCTGAGATTTTGGATTTTTGATTAGGCTCGCTTGTTATTGTTGCTGTGAATAGTGCGAATTTTGGGCGCAATTTTAAGGCAGCTATCTTTTCCACCCCTTTGGAATTTCCGTTTCAAAATTTGTTTGACGACTTGCGCAAGTTTGAGCACTTCTGGGTGATAAGATTACCAGAAACTGTTAAATGTCCAGTAAATAACGCTCATTCATGAACGATCAGGGGCCATATAACGGAAATATGACACAAACTCGCAATGCTACACTGAAATTATGAGCAATCGACAGCAATTAAGCAATTGAACAACTGGTGCAAGCACTATTAAAGCCATAAGAGTTCGATCGCCCACCCGTTCGACGGAGAAAATAATTAAGAGGAACCCACGATGTGTTTGCTGTTTTCACTATTGCCAATTCGAGTTAATTTCCAAATTGCCAAACTAACTGAAACAAGAGGCGTAAACATAGACGAGGGGCGGAGGAGGTAGAAAGCCAAGTAAGCAAATTAAATCCACAAACAACTAATGAACGCTGTGCACTGAAACGAAAAACTGAATACAATGTAGTATGTTTAAAGCTGTTTCGCTTGTGCAGGATCGAAATTCATAAAATAAAACCAGTCAATCTCGTTTAACATGTGTATGTTACTGACACCTTTAAACAAATTTTTACAACGCGCAGAAAAAATCCACAATAAATATCATTTTCAAATAGCAATACAAATAAATCGCATTGAAACAAAACCATTTAAATCAACAACACTATGTAAACAAAATCTGCTTCGACTAATAATGGTTTGAGTTAGAACATTGAAAAGTACAATCACTTGTCATTTATTGGCAGTTGTTTATTTTATTTGTTTGCTGACAGCTATGCCTAACTCTTTTGTTTATATGAAATGTCATGGTACATATATGGCATTGACTCTCAAACTTTTCAGTGTGGAGCCTCACAAAATGAGACAGTTTTGTGGAGCAAAAGGAGTTCAGAGTGCACACGAATGGAATTTACCCCCATTCGTTGTCAATGTAATTTGTCAGTTCAAAGACCCCGTGCGACACAAGGACTCCGACTCCAGCTACAACTCGTTGTCGTTCCATCTAGCCAGGATGCAAAAGGACCCCGGATCCTACGTGCAAGATGTTTACATGGCGACGTTGCCCTGACAAATGTGCCAAGTGTGCGGACGTGCGGCCAGGTTTCCAGCTCCAAGTTTGCAGCTCCCAGTCACCAGATCCCAGATCCCAGCTCCTAGAGCCCAAAAACGCAGATCCCGAGTCGAGTGCAGCTAAAAAATGTAATCAATGTATTTTTGTCACGTTAACGAAATGCACGAGCCTCGCAGCTCAGCTCAGTTCAGTTCAGCCGGCACAGCTGCCATAAAAGGGCACTGAAAGAAATGCTCCCTCTTTTACTAAAAGCACCTATCTTTCGTTTCTAATTTAGTATTGAGAAACAATAGTTGTGGCATTCATATTGACCATTTTAAGCAAAAATTCATTCTTGAATTAAAGGCTCATATCTAGAAGAACTGTTTCCGAAGCTAGAACTCATAGGACTTAGATTTTTTTTCCCAGTGTGGCCTCACTTCCTTCGTCACCGCTCGACAAACATAAATTGTGTCTGTCTTTCAGTCTGTTTGTCGAGCTGCCTGAATTTGCACGGCATGACAACAACAACGAGAACAACAGTAAGTACTAGTACGACTGCAACTACAACGGAGCTACAGATGACGGAGAAGAATGAGTCCAAATGCCGGGCAGAATGCACAAAGGATTGTCAGGGAGAAATGTCACGTCGTTTGGCAGCAATTATCCCCAGAGCCGAATGAGCATTGACTGAGCGAGTGAGTCCTGCTTCTGCGAAGGATTCCGGTTGAGATTTGGGTTCTGAGACTAAGGCGGAGAATGAGCCCCGAACTCCAGACGGCAGCTGTCAGACTTTGGCGCGAGCTACAATGCAATTGCCGTACAGTGAGCACTCGCTAAGGTTGCAGCTGCTGTGATTTACCTGAGCGACAGTGCTGTTTCCCCTTCGGTTTAAGGTGATGGTTTAGACGAGTATTTAAATGGATGTTTATGCTACTCATTTGTAGACACAACTTTCTTTCAGTTAAGGATATTTGCCACAGTTCCTTGAGTTATGCCTGTTCCTAGCTCAGTCGCATATAGCACATCCGTACGGGTACTACACACCCCTGGATACGCTCTCTTTTCGGTGGCAGTGATGTGTGCCTTATGCCACGACTTCCTCCCCGAAAAAGCAGAGCCCTGAGCGAAGAAAACTTAAGTGCATTTGTGCCACTGCGAGTCGCGTCGTCTGCCAGCTGTCTGCACCCCTGCATTCCTACCCCCATGTGTAATTAAGTCGAGCATTATTCGATATGCTGCACTGGTGAAATTTATGGCCACATGCATTTGCCGGCTATTTATAGACCGAACTAATGGCGCAGCGCTTCTGGAGAGCCCGGGTTCATAACCTCACCTATGCATAACTTCGTTTGCCCATAGCCGAGTGTTATCGAACTGGCACAAGGGATATGTAGATTGCGATACTGCTCAGTGGGCCAGTGTCGAAAGAAGTCTGGATTTATTTTGACAAATGGGGCTTCCATAGGTTTTTCGTGTGTGCTGTTGACGATTAATGGGGCAAACCAACTTGAGTGGCATTTAACTATCGCTGTTATCTTGGGAGTACTCAAATCGGCTAGTCAAAAGGCTCACAAAACTAGTAGATAACGTGTTCTAATTGCTGCATGCAGAATTGCAGAGCCCTATGGGTGCAAGTATGCTGATAGTGCCGTCGTAACTCAGCTGTGCCCTTCGTGATAGTCAGCAAACGTTCAGAAGTTATGCAACTGATTAAAAAACTTGTATATACCAAAATTTAAAGCTCTAATGAAAAGAAAGGTTTTAAGTTTCAACAATTTGGAAGAGAACGAGATGCATCGAACCAAAAAAAGAGATCACTTAAACGCCAAATTCTAATACACAGAGAGTCAGCTGAGCTCGACTTTCTGCGGCATATTTGCAGCATGAGTTCGAAGAGTTGGTCGTATCTCTGGAAAGTAAACAATAAGCAACACACTCGGATGTCGTGAGTCACCGGCGAAGTGTTGGTGTGTCAGCGCGAAAGAGCGACGCAGATCGGCAAGTGATTAACTTCTGTATCTGACAGTCTGAAATTCACCTTTCGAAGTGCCAACTTTGCGGAAATCGTCAGCATAAGGAGCATTGGGAAATGCTCGATAGCTCGGATCGAAGCGGAAACCCGACGCCTCCGCAGGCGCCTCAAGTTGCACTTGGCGCTGGCTCAGCTTTTTGTGGAGCTGCTTTCCTTATCGCCGCGTCTGTGTCATCAGAAGGCAGCGTAAAGAGCACGCGGCAGCAGTAAAGAAAATAATTTAACGACAGCCAGCGAAATCGCGACTGGCAAAGCAAGATAGAAGATAGCAACAAGTCGCTGGGAGCCCGCTTGTTTACCTTGAGTTGGATGTTCGTGGCAGCGGAACCAGCAGAAACTCTAAACTTGCAGCTGCAACGCTTATCAGCTGCACAGTGCATTGACATTGTTGCACTTGCTGCTGCTGCTGCTGTTGCTGCTGTTGCTGCTGCTGTTGCAGTTGCTGCGGTTCTATTGAGAGCGTGGTCAAAGGCTTTTCAAAGACTTTGCAGCAAACAAGCATTAGCTAATTCATCTGATTCAACTTTGAATGGGGGGTCCGTGAACTGGTAAATATCAAGGCGTTAGTATCTTTGACTTCAAGTTATTTACTTTAGCTTTGTGTTGAATGAGTAGTACTTTGATAAGTACTTTGGATATATAAGCCGGAATTTACTAGCTGTGTGATTTCTGCGAGTTAGTGTAGGGATTTGTTTTACGCTATGAGATTCCACAGAGCTGCTTAAGCACTTGGTTAACAGCTTAATAACCCTATTGTTTGTCCCTTAAGCTTACATTTTTTAACAAGAGCTTTCTGTCGCACATGCCACCTTTCTCTGACTGGACCACAGCCTGTTTATCCGCTTTAGCCCTCTCGTTTCGCAAATTGTGGGATTACCATGGATGTCCTTGCCAGCGAGTGGGCTGCTTATTAAGTCATAGCCAATGCTGAGGGCAAAGTTCAAAGGCA